TGTGAGTGGATCAGAGGAAAAGCTTGATCCGCCAGAGCTCTCGCTGACTTCGTGCAAAAAAGAACCTGCAGGAGTGGTTTCGACAAAGGCCAAATCCATCACAGCCATCTTGCACTATCATGTACTTTTTCCCTTGGTATCATCTCCCGCCGAATGCAAAATGCTGTAATGGATTTGGCCCTCTTTTCGAAGTTCGACCTGCCCAGAATTGATGTGCAGGTCCAGGTCAGAATGAGTGAAATTCCGGAAACTAGCCCTTGTCTGCTTAAGAACATCCCATAACTCCAACCGGATCGCTAATTTGGAATGCAATCAATGTATCACACAATTTGTTTTGCACTCTCCCTTCTGAAAAGAAGTTGGCCCGGAGTGAATGAGGAATTTTGTGTGTCGCCTACACAGATGGGCGAACGTGGACCTACTGGACGAACAGGGACGGTATTCACCAAATATGTCCTTGCGGTAAAGAGGCATTCAAAGGACTTATGTTGTCTCCATTGGACAGGAAACTAGGCGCTACGCTGGGTTGAATGCCCTGTCCTGTACCGCACAGGAATAGGCAAAACATGTAACGAAAAAGCCGGACATGTGGCACATGGGCGGAGTTGTCATTTGCTGCTCTGAGGCTGTGCAAGGGTGCATGCCTGTGCTCGAGCCTTAACTTTGTACGCCACAGTAGCCTTCCTGAGTTCCCTGTCAGAGATGAAGATGGTGTTTACTGCGCTGCGGACGTAAGGAACGCTCTCTTACGAGCAAAGCGATTCCATCTCCACAAAACCTCCCAAAGCCTGCCACATCGGCGGAGATGGGTTTTGTTCTAATTGATTGTTTTGGATCCTCTCCCCAGATCATTCTCCCCTACTTGGATGTCGGATCTCACTGGAATGCCATGATCGGCTGCTCACACCACGAGGAACCCCCAGTATAAACTGCCATTGGTGCAGGTGGGGGAACGACTGCTCGTATAGAGGGGGGAGCTGACACTTGGCTATCAAGGTGCAGCGCAGTTTCTGAAAACTACTACCTGTAGCCGCACTGTGCATGAGCTGCCAGAAAGCGCCCGTGTCACAATCGCCCAGCCCCAGCTGCCATCTGCTGATGCGGAATCATTGGACCAAACTTGTCATGCAGCCTTCCACGGAACGACTGAAACCGCCCCAGCTCTGACCGTCGTCGTTCTGATGGTAGCCTCACAATTGATCACTGGAGTGCCTTCCACCCTCGGCAGCTCCCCAAATCTCTCTTATTATTATTATTATTATTGTTATTATTATTATTTAACTTCCCGTGACATCCGGTAGGAGTGTGATGATTGAGCATACAGTCCTACCTCACTTGTCGGAGCCTCCGGTCTATTGGTGGGGAGCTGCAACTTCTGGAAAACCGGTGCTGCGTCCCTTGAAACAAAGTATAGTACTATAAAGCTAATCACGAGTATATAGCATTTAGGAATCTCTAATTTAGCTGTCCAAAACGACTTTCGACTCTACTTTCCAGACTTTGAGATTTCAAGACACCAATCAGAATATTTTGGTGCACTACTGATTAATTGGTCAATCAAGGAATTGGTTATCAATTTGGAAAATCAACTATCAAAGATTCAAAACCCTAAACTCAAAATTTCAAAACTAAGAGATGATGATAAAAGACATACTTAATGAAAGACAACCAGCAGGTTACGAACAAACTATAAGTACATCGACCCCTAAAAGAAAAAGGAAAAGGAAAAGGAATTCACAAACAGGACAAGAACAACTACTATCATAGCGTATATGTTGACACAGGGCATCGCCACACCACTCTCGGAATGTGCAAAATGAGAATGAACTTCCCGCTATAACATGGCCAGACGCACCCGCCACATTTTTGTCTTTTTCACATTTCGAGCGTGGTGTGGCAAGGCCCACAGTCACAAGGACGAAGGTGGAGTGTTAAGCCCTGATGTTGTTGACGAAGCTCGAAGCCGCTGCCGCACCGCACCTAATCGAAGTCGCCGCTGCGCTCCTTCCGATAACTCCTTGATGTTACCTCCCCTCAGTCCAAAGCCGTTCCACCCCCCACTCTACGTGTGTCGCACTCTCCCCTTTCGACCTGCGTCAACCGTCCTACCTCCACTTTACTATGCAGGATAGGAGAGCACAGGCCACCACCTTGCGCTTGTTCACATGGGGCGCAGCGCTCCCGGTAGCGCTGCGCCCATTTCCGAATCGCCCCCCTCGCCGAGACAATTCATTTATGTTACAGGCAATCTTTGCATGTGGTCAATGTGAATCCCAATCCCAATTAGAGTTGAAGTCAACAAAACCTTTTGAGAACACTCCCAACCAAGAGTGATATTGGAAAGCTGTTACGCCATCGTGACCACTTGTTTGGGGAGCATGTACTGAAAATGGACTTCAGAGTCTTCAGACCCCCATACAACATATGCAACTGGCTTCAGAATGAGCTACTGTCTTCACCTGAATAGAACGCCCGGTCAGTATGTATAGCCGTATTTGGCAATTTTTGGACTACATACATCGATACTTACCGGGCGTTCTATTCGGGTTAAGACAATAGTATGGCGTTCGTCGTGGTAAAAAACATGTGCCAGTGCTCTCTGGAAGATTGTAATGCCCTCTTTTTTTTTTTTTTTTTTTTTTTTTTTTCAAATGAAGAAAATGGACGTTTATAATGTCCGACACTTGCCAAATCCAGTTGTTCTTTATCACCCCTTTTTTTTTTTTTTTTTTTTTTTTTTTTTAAACTCCCACCAGTGTTAGTGGTGCTGATAAGAGCACACACCACTAGCACTTGAGGAGAGGCTCCATCTATTGGTGGGGAGCATCACCTGCCGGAAAACTGAGATTGAAGTACATCTGTCACACAATTATGGAATTCCTGCCAGCATTGATTACCCTGGGATCCAGGGGATTGACTGAGCAGGATATTTAGAGGGGGGGGGGGGACCTCTTCACCTTGAATCCCGCGCAGGTTACTCATCTACATGCTGGTCCCTCCCCCTTTTTCCAACAAGTACTGTAGATACAGGGGCCTCTCCCCCCAACCATATCTTGGGAGGACCGGCCAGGTGTGAGGGGGGGTAGGGAGGCAGGTTCTGCGTCCAGGGGGCGACTGGAGCAGACACCTAATCCTCCTATTCCCTTTCTCCATCCAGACGGATCCCACCAGGATTGTGATGGGCGGGCTTCGCAGTATCTCAGCCATACCAGCTCAATTCTCTCACTACTATAGCGTCAGCACCACAATAATTTTGTGATTATGGCCATCATCATCATCATCATCATTGTAATCATTATGTTTGTGGCAATATGTGCTGTCAACACATCATGACATTACTGTGATAATTGTCATCATGGCAATGGATAAGGTCTTCTTCTTCTTCTTCTTCTTCTTCTTCTTCTTCTTCTTCTTCTTCTTCTTTTTTTTTTTTTTAATTGTCATCATGGCAATAGACAAGGTCACCATCAAGTTCATCCCAAATTTCCAATTGGAATTATGATAATGGTGTTACCAACTTACCACCATATGTTGTTCCAGTGAGGAGCATGGGGACTTGTCCAAGCTAGGATTTCAGGGCGAAGATCGCTCGCCTAACTAGCCCAAAGCGAGGACTGAGTACAAATACGTCCCCTTGCGGACATGCCTGGGAGGTCCCTTCACATGTATCCCTTGGTAACATGCATTTTCCCTTGGTAGCCAGCCACACCCTTGGAAGGTTGTCCTATTTTCCGTTCTTATTTTCCCTTCTCTTTCTGTTGTTTGGTAACTAAGAGGCATGGAGGCTCATCATCTTTTTGCCTCCATGCTGTACAAATACGTCCCATGCGGACATGCCTGGGAGGTCCCTTCACATGTATCCCTTGGTAACATGCATTTTCCCTTGGTAGCCACACCCTTGGAAGGTTGTCCTATTTTCCGTTCTCATTTTCCCTTCTCTTTCTGTTGTTTGGTAACTAAGAGCCATGGAGGCTTATCATCTTTTTGCCTCCATGCTGTTCACCTGCGCTCACACAAATACCCATAGCTTGACACACTCACACACACACATACACATATGCACTCACACACTCTCTCTCTCTCTCTCTCTCTCTCTCTCACACACACACACACACACACACACACAACACACACACACATACACACACCACACAC